GAGCAATTATTATCGCAGCGACAGGTATCACTACCCCACAAACTATGGCAACTGTCTTTTTCGAAGAGCCTTTCGACACCGGGTCCGAAGGTTCATTGGGAGTCGGGCTAGATGTAGAAGCACTATTTAACTTGTCAGTGGGATACAAGCTAAAAACAAGTCTGTCATCATCATTGTTGTTGTTCACAAGGGTAATCTGAGTCTTCTCGAAGTCTTCAGGGACAAGACCATTCAAAGTCATGTTACTGCTGTGAAATTCAAGCCAGGATGCACTGGGTGAAGACTGAAGACTAATATCATGAGTTGAAGAAGAAGAATTAATGGCTGAAGTAGGAATAGTAAATGTGAAAAACTCGCCAGCAGTGACATTCAACTCAGGAAGGGCAGATTCAGTGAAGACCCCAGCAGTACTTGAAGTATTTAAGGAGCTCTCGTCCGTGAACAGATTCAGTTGTATCTCAACGCTATCAGCAAACTTATTTGTAATGTTTAAGCTGTATGTGCTGTTGGCAAAGTTATCAGGAACTTTTCCACTCAAAAATGTAGTATTTGAACTAATCCAAGAGCTGTTGGTTTGAACATTGGAAATATCTGATGTTTCTACCGGTTCGCCATCTAGTAAAATGTCGGTCAGTGGAAGCTTATACGTGAAATCTTCACCACGGACTAAAGTTTGATTGACGGAAAGAATGTTGGTAGAAAATTGATGAGGGCCAACAACCATGTTGAAGGCTAAATTGGCGCTGGAAAACCCAGGCACCTGTATAGCAAGCAACGATGCTGAGTAGGTCTGAGAGGGAGCAATACTAGAAGTTGTAGGTGGGGTTGTTCCAGAAAATGTGAAAGTATCAGTGTTGAAAGAAATCCAGCTTGGTAAAGGTGTATGGGAAGAAAGCAGAGAGTAGAATTGAGAGATGGGGTTATCTAAAGGCGAAACAAAAATCGATTTGGGAATGGTAAAAGAGAACGCATTACCGGGTTTCAGCACTAAAGTGTCAGGACCTGCAACACTTCCAGCTTCTTTTAAAGCAGTAGTCAGAACAGAAAGGCTCGAGACTGATGCAAAGTCGATATTTGAGACCGCAAAAGAAGAATTTAAAGAAAGTTCTCCCGAAGCATCTGTGGCTATTAAGTCAAACCAAATATCCTCAGTCCGGCTGAGATTAGAAGGTGCTTGAGGAGCGGTTCCTGAGAAAACCCGAGACGATGAGTCGAAAGAAAGCCATGTTGGCAGGTTGTCGACAGTGTAGACTATATCAGTATTATCTGTCGACGTAAATGTGTTGGATGGTAGCTGGTAGTTGAATTCTTGCCCATATTGTATTAAAGGTGGGTATTGTAAAGAGAGCGGATACGAGTTTACTGGCGACGCTTCGATGTGAGACGATAGTATTAGTAAAGAAAGAAGCGTAGACGTCGCGAGGTCAAAGTTATATCTCATTGGATTAGACTGGCTATTAACGAAGATCTTGGAGGCGATGCAATTATGTTGACTGGATACTAAAAGGATGCGCTTTTACAGTAAATATAGAATAAGGAGTAAAAGAGTGTGTGATGGACGTGGGTCTAATAATAATAAAAAAAGAATGACGAAACGAATAGAAAAACAAACAAACAAAAGAAGTCAGTAGCTAGCACTGAAGAAGAGAAGATATCATGAAATTGACCTTGATCAAGAAGAACTGCAAAAGAAGAAAAGGAATAAATAAAAAAATAAAAAAATAATAAAAAAATGAAAATTTTTGAAGGAGAAAAGATATCATCAAAGGCTTCAACTGTTCACGAAGCTAGTCAATACCATGCAGGGCTAGGGTACATTGTGCATAGTGAGGTGGAGAATGCGGATGGTATCACAGGTGTGTAGTTCTAATGGCAATTTTAAAGTTTTTGCCCATAAAAAGAATAGCGATAATAATAATAATAAATAATAAAAATAATAAAATTAATAAAATAATGATAGCAAAATAATCAAAATAATAATAGAAATAGTAATGAAAATTATGACATAATATAAATTCATTTTACTACTCCCATTTAGGCATTCCCAGGGGCTTCCATCTTTAATTTCGACCCCCTTTCTTGTTTGTTTTTTTCTAAATTTGGCAAAAGTTTAGACAAATCAGGGAAAATCCAATATCCAAACGTAGTACAAAGGTAAATTTAGCCCGTGTGTTTCAAGCACAGTCGTGATCAAGCACGCGCATTTCAATGTCCATTCGATGTGGCCCATCACGTTTATCGGTACGGTTATGGATCGTCTATAAAGAACGTTTTCTTCTTCTTCTTGTCTCTTCTTCGCTAAAAAGCCATTGCAGAGATTTATAAACGAGAAATTTAGTTATTTATCGCAGAGTGTTTTTCAGTTGACGTTTTATAGATCTCGAGGCTAAACTCTCGCATGAGATATAAACTTGTATTGCTGTTTATAAATAGGTTAGAACTGATTTAGCCACTCAGCACTCTTGGCCAATTACATCCTCATCTTCTAATATATATATATATATATATATATATATATCAATCATCTATTATGGAAACTGAACTGCCTTATCTGGTACATTTATAGTACGATATTGATCACAGTTAGACACTTTTTTCATTATTCATAAGCGCGTTAAGTGCATTTATTAGTCTCGTTAAGATAAGTTTTAGAGCTGTATGTTTTAGATAATCTGTTTACCATCCTTACATTAAATAGTTATAAACAAAGTTATAAAACAAATTTACATACAAAGAAGGCATGAATTTCAAGACATTTGTCTCTATGGGGCTGCCAATGAAGCAATGGCGGCGCTCGTATTATAATTTCAAATGTTCGATGACGCCGATGGTTTCTATCTACTTCTAACGGAGTAAGCAGATCAAATAAGCTAGTGGTTTTAAATGCTGGTTGTAAACGTTTTTGTTACACACTAGAAAATTAATTATCACATAGCAAAATAAACAGTATGTAATTGATGACTAATTACTACTTTTAAACTGTAGTTACCATAAGTATAGAAAGAAAAATCTACAAACATGCAGGGATTTGGCCTGAAGCCTTATTGAAGATGCGATGAAGAAGTAGTTTTAAGGGCTAAGCAGCAGATGAAGGTAGGACTTTGGGTGTATACTGTTTAACTGTGCACAACTATACAATCATACCTTTTCATCAATTACGCTTGGTCTTCCAAAAAGCAGGACCCAAAAGCGTTTATATAAAATAAATCAGAGAGATGGTGTCAGCGATCGTGAGGGTAAAGAGATACCCAATTAAGTAAAAGAACGTCATTAAGGTTTATAGGGACGACTGAAATTAATGTCGATTTCTTGCGCTCTCCATCTGGAACGATGGAATGTGGAATACCGTGTAAACGTACTATCTCGTTCATGTAAAACTGTGCCGTGCCTGGCACGCCGCTGCTTTTGATTGTCGCTATAAAATGTCCTCATTTTGTAAATCTATATGTAACCACGGGGGTCACGTCGCATCCATTCGATACTAGTAGGCCCGTAACAAATTCGAGTGAGATAGACGACCAGCGTTGCTCAGGAATATCTGAAGGCTTTAATAAACGGTCGGTACCCGACCTAACAGTCTTATATCGTTGATAATTGTTATACTAACGTATGAACGTCTTGGTGTATTTAAATATGTGAGGCCAGTAGAAATGTTAAGCCGGTGTAAAATACATCTTATAAGGATCAGAATGACTGCTTATAAGTGGTTCATGGGCCCCCACAAAATGTCTTGTTACACACTCTTGGAAAGTTTGGAATACACAGTTTCCAGTTGTTGTTTTTGGGGCCTATAATCGTCATGAAAAAAAATGTTTCATCGATCAACTTGTAATGACACATATAGGAGCGAATAAATCTTGGTGTTGCAGCGTCTTCTTCCAAGTTCCGTACCACCGCATAGGTTTCACCGAAATATGCGTTGTCCGGCAAACTTTCCTTGCCTGACTGTAAGGTCTCCTGGTCGTCAATTAAAAGTTTTTACAAGAGTGCCGATAATTGAACTCGGTTTAGCACGTCTGCAGCTGTGTTCTTGAAGCCGGAAAATTGTTCAATGGAAAGGCTGTATTCCGCTAGAGTGGTTCATGTTGATACTAGAAACTTTGATACTCGGCTCTTCTGTATGGTATCTACATGGAAACTCTCTCAGTTTTGGTAGACACGCATGGTTGCTCTGCAAATGTTGCTTTTCAAGATCGGCTAATTTGGCACGTTTGTGTAGAAAGTGTGAATCGAAAATAGCGGATTCTTCAAGGCTGATCGATCACATAAAAGAATACGGATTTTTTCCACGTCACTAAACATTGAGGAATTGAAGCTTTCTGTCGAACGCATTGGAATTGCCCAAAGATTCTACGCACGCAATCAGGATGGCACCTTGGATGTTGCCGGTAAGTCAAAGGTCATTTAACAGACTGCGACAAATAAAGGATTTACCAGCACCAGAATTCAGTGGAATAGGAATTATTGCAGGCGAGTCAGCTAGCAAAAAGGCTACCACGAAATGGAGGAGTGTCCCTAAATGTTGCACCAATAAGATGCCAATGGAAGCAACTGGCACATCGTCAAACAACTCAATCTCTAGATAGATAAATAGATAGATAGATAGATAATCAGTTTACTGTCCTTACATCAAATAGTTACATAAAAATTACAAAACAAAACGATATACAAAGAAGACATGAAATTTCAAAAACAATTGTCTCTATGAGACTGGCAAAGTAGCGGTGTCAGCGCGCGTAATAAGTTCAGACGTTCGATGGCGCCGAATTTTCCATGAATTTTCTTTATGGGCCTAAATTCGCACAGCTATATAATCACAACCTTTCGTCAATTATTCTTGGCCTCTCAAAAGGAGAACACAAAAACGTCTAAATTAAATAAAACTAGAGTTGATGTTGGCAATAACTAGGGTAAGGGATTACCTGATTAGGTAAACAGTAATATGAAAGTTTATGGGGATGATTACAAATGATATTGAATAAATTTACAAATATAAAACAGGCAATCTGGCCGAGTTGGTCTAAGGCGTAGGATTAAGGTTCCTATCTCTTCGGAGGCGAGGGTTCGAATCCCTCGGTTGTCATGTTTTTGCAAAATCTTTTTTTTTTTTTAATTTCCTTGCTTAAGCTTTTTCAAATCCTTTTCTTTCAAGTCAAAGTGTTGTTGAGATAAGGAGAGTACAAAACAAGAATGATAATAATGAGAAACAAAGAGGAGATAACAAATAGTTCAATCAAGCTACTTGCGTAACTATTTTAAGATTCCATGACTTACTAAGGTTGTTTACAAGGATCCCTTTTTTTTGGTACTTCTGACCAGCTACTTGGCAAATCATCAACCAAATTCTACTCTTCCATATAAGTGCTAAACCCGGGATTCCTAGGAGCAAAAAGTGAAAGTGAAGTTGCTTTAGTAATATGTATATTTCTTCGTTATATAGCTAGGGCAAAATTCAATTTCAGTGGCTTATCGTAGCTTCTGAACCGAACAAGGTCTAATGGCAGGTCAGTCCCCGGGCTGATGATCGGGAGCCCCAGAAGTAATGACCGACAAAAGCACCAGCAGCAACGGACAGCATTACCCATCCCTAGAGCAAATAAGAAAGAAAAAAAAGATGACACTCGTGTTAGAAGACAAGCCCATTAAGCAAGGAAAAAAATAAAGAAAAAAGAAAGGCAATAAAAGGGGAAGTATACGTACGTTGTAGGTCATGAAAAGAAGCATGACCATAAAGGAGTAGAAAACCTGAATGGCGTAGTAGACTGATTTGCGGATGCGGCGTCTCCGTTCAACCACGGGCGAAATGTTTGCAACACCGACATGGGCCTCGCCGTCCGAGTTAGAGGTGCCAAGGTGACTATGGAGCTGCGATTCTTCGGGGAATTTACGAGCAACGATAAACCGGAGATACTCGTAGCCGGCGGTTAGCGCGACAATTGCCAGTAATGAAAGTACAAGTGACATGTTTGACCGGATATGCCAGTGCTTGCTGATGATGCACAGGTTGGTGGTGTCCCAGGTAAAAAGCATGTTCATCGAGCACATGTCGTCCATGCCGCCGTGGCCACCGCCCATATCACCGTGGTCCATGCCAGAGTGATCCATCATCGAGTGGTCCATCATAGAGTGATCCATAGCTGCGTGCGCCATTACCATTGTCTTTGTTGTTGTTGGTTTATAGGGGTGTGGTGTGAGTGAGTGAGTGCTGTGGGTACTTAAAGGGAGGGAATTGAGCTGTAGGAAAAGAAGAAGGGCAACGGAGATAAAGATGAAAACGTTAAATAGAACCCCGAGGCCCTAGTTTTGCTGACTTGAAGTCTACAAGATTTTCTTTTAGAGTATTTAGGAATTCATTCGGCTATTAAAAACAATCCAATAAAAAAATGTAATAATAATATGCTCAGAAACGAGTCAATTAGTTTTTCGGTTTAGTGAGCATTGCTGATTTATGGTGAAGCCATTTTGTCGTTTCCGAACCATTGCCCGACAGTGCACTCTTGCTGACTTTAGACTTTTCAATCTCACACTTTAATAAACACCTTTGCTAAGAAAAACCACAAGGGTTGGGGTTGGATACTAAGACCAAAGCATAAGGTTCAAGTTACAGGTATTCGACCAAAAAAAGTTTAAGCGTTAAGAACAAAGTCTTTCGGGAATCGAAATAATGGTTGCCGGCATAAAACAAAAAAAAAAAAAAAAAAAAAAAAAAAAAAAAAAAGACTCCTGATGAGGTAGACTATCAAGGATTTTATTTTCGTTTTTTCTTTTAAAGATAGGCTTTGAGGTGCTCATCATGACCAGCACCAACTGAATTAGATCGAATAAAAATAGCTACAATTTATACTTTTAAATCTAATCCTGTTAAAATTTAGAGTATGAGATGCCTTTTCAATAAACCACTTCTAAAAAGTTTCTTTTCAAGTATGTATAATAAATGCTATATATGCGACTAATATTACTCCACTAAAGCCATAAGATCAGTTGGCTGCGTTCTTAGTTGGTGTTAAGAATGCAAAGATGAAATAATGATAATAAAAAAAAAGAACATGAAAGATAAATAAGTGCACCCCCTGAATAATTATGAATCTTTTTTCCCTTAATTCCTTGTTTTTAAATTGAAACAAAAAAAAAAAAAAAAAAAAAAAGATGAGCGAAAAATGGTGCAAGTTTTTGGAGTTACTCCAAATGGCGTGGTCAGAAATGCGATTAGATGACAATTTTCAGTACTTGTGAGTTTTTGTCGTTCTCAAGAACGGCAAATTTAGGCTCCATAAGTGAGGCATTATTGACTCTTCGAGTTGTTCCAGGCGACTCTGATCGGGGTGAAACGCTACCGGATGGACTACTATTGTGACTACTAGTGGGGGAGATCGGGGCAGTGGCGGTATCGTTCATATTAATCAGGGAAAAGCCAATGGGAACTTCATTGTCTTGAATGGCTTCAACTTCATGAAAAAACCGTACCGCATTGATGCTGCCTGGTGTAGGAAGGCCCACGCGTGTGTGGCCTGACTGGGTATCACAATGCGCACAAGTCGAGAGATAAGCCACAGTATCGTTCAGCAAATAGTTTAAACGGTACAGTATTGTAGACGCTTTTCCCACTACACAGTAGAGATACATTAGCTCAAAAGCGCACTTGTTGAGAACATGCTTGTAGAGAAATGCAAATTGGGATTGGCGCCCACCATTTCCTAGCATCAACTCTGCAAGCGCTAGTGCAGCATCTTGCGACTTTTGGGTGAATTTTTGATTCTGTATAGATGAAAGACTAGTAGAGCTCATAAAATAGTTGATACCCAGCTGTAGTGCTTCTACATTATCTTTCTTCAGGAACTCTGTCAAGTCAGTGCCATTATTCATGACACCTGTCTCAAGCGCAGCAATTCGGAGTTTAAGATAACAAGGGTCAAAATCAATCTCTTTAAACGCCTTGTCGTTAATGGTGGTTGGCTTCGTTATCTTATTGTTGACAGTCATAGTTGTGGCTAATTCAAGTTCGCGTCGCCAAACATAAGCAGAAACCCAAGTGCGGTATGACTCTGTTTGATTTAGCCCTGGAATATCCAAGGAACCATACTTAGCAACGTCAAGAAGTGAATGAAGGCCCAATGAAGTTGCATTTTCATTGGCGGACTCTGCGAGCTTAGCGGATTCTGGCAAGTCGTTGTTAACAACCGCCTCAAAAACAGAAAGTAAAAGCGTATACTGAACAATATTCAGGCACATGGGAACATCAAAAACGTTTGGAATAATTTTCTTAGCTTTTGCATAGTAGTCAAGTGCGATTTCTTTATGTCTAGAACCAAGGGCAACAAGAAGATAGATTATGGCTAATTCAATTTGGTTGAAGGATAACACTGAGCCTTGATCAATAGTATTCCATGCAGCAAAAGCTTTGTTTTTCCAGGCCCTGGGGTTAAACATGGGGATGATTGGATGATACGACGTAAAATAGAAACCAAGATTAGAGAGCATGGATGATTGGGTAAGTGGCGGTAAATGTGGCGCGGGGGACATTTGCATGGCTACAATAGATGAGTTGCGTTTACGGGAAACAAAACACGAACATGACTGCACATGAATTGAGGGAGATAAATTGCTGACTAGCTTAAGAACAGAAAACTCAGTTGCAATGCTGGTGGTGGAACTTGGTGGGGTATGCAAAAAATGGTGATTTGGTGGTGCGGTTGAAATCGGCACCAACGGAGGTGGTGAAGGCATTATTTGTATGGTTGATTTGACTGGAGCAGGAGAATCGGTGTATGTCTTGCCATTAGAAAGCAATGGCGGTGTGAATATTATCGGATTGAAAATTGGAACGGAAGTATTTGATGCAGGCTCAATAGGCGAAACGACGGCAGGTGGGTAACTAGCTATCGATGAGAGAGATAGTCGCTTTTCGAATGTGAGGTCAACCGAGGATCGTGACGCGTTTGACGAACTGCGGCGTTTTGAAGATCGCTCTGATGGATTCCTAACGCTATTAAAGGGTTAGAATATAAAGGGCAAAAAAGGAACATTCTAAATAATCACTTACATTTTTATTGGGTATCCCTTGAGAGCTCGGTAATGTTGTCGGTAGTTACAGGGCTCGTTGAATTTCGAGCAAGTATCACATACGGTTCCGCCGGAACATTTGACTTTTCTTCTGCGGCAGCCCTCGCAAGCACGTGAAGTGCGAGATTGCTTGGTAGAACTGGAATCAGTAGTGCTATTGCTACGACTACGAGTGTCGGTCGGCGACGGTGGTTGTGATGTACTAGAAAACATTAGAGAAGTGGTTGAAAGACAGAATCAAGGAAGGAATGGAAAAGTTTCGTAAAAGAGAGAAAAAAAGAGAGAGAAGCAAAAAAGAATAAAAGGAAAATGGAATGAATAAATATAAAGGTAGAAATATATTAAAAGGAATATAAATTTGTTATCAAAAAAACAAAAAATACAAAATAAAAAACAATATGGAATTGAAAAAGAAATTAGCTTTGCGATAAAAAGATAAGCACTTGTCGTCAGGCCTTACATAACTATTTATCCGATATTTGTGATTGGCCTAAATTGACTGAGCCAACTGGCCACACCAACAAACAGTGTCTGATGCTCTACCAGGTTGATAAATACAGATTATTGTAAACAAACGCTGCTAAAGCCAATTCAAAAAAAGATGAATTGAATGAAAAAAATCCTCTTTTTTTTTTTTTTTTAACAAGTAACGGTACTGGGCCAAGAGACAATAGAGAGCTTAGGGTATATACGAGCCGGCGGCCTTTGGAATTTATAACTTCCAGCTATCAATAAATATATAAATCATAAAAAAGGGGAAAGGTTTTGGTCTTTTGTCTCCAGTTTTTTTTTTTTTTTTTTTTTTTCTTTTCCCTGTGCTGTTCAGATCATTCAACTCTTTAGAGATGTCTGGTTGTGTACATCATAGTGTTGCTGGTGTTTCATTGGAAAGGTTTTAAACAAAATTACCCAATTTGGTCTGTTATCTCCCTTCCACACATCAAGTTAGACATGGACAGACTAAAAGGGGAATTTAATTCCTGGTCTCCAAAAGAAAACCAAAAAAAAAAGACAGAAAACCTA